AACACACAGCACACCACACACCACACACCACACACCACACACCACACACAACACACCACACACCACACGCCACACACAACACACAGCACACAACACACAACACACAACACACAACACACAACACACAACACACAACACACAACACACAACACACAACACACACCACACAACACACAACACACAACACACAACACACAACACACACCACACAACACACAACACACAACACACAACACACAACACACAACACACAACACACAACACACAACACACAACACACACACACACACGTGGGAACACACACACAACACACAACACACAACACACACACACACACCTGTGTGTGTGTTTTTCCCTGGAGGAGCTCGGAGCATTCACGCCTGGGGACCGGACGTGGCCAGCGTGTCGCGCCTAAGCGTGGGCCAGAGCCAGCGGCGCGACCTTCTACGCAAACCCTCCGGATCGTGACCGTCCGTAGGCTCGGCATCTCGGGAGGCGAAGCCCGCAAGCCAGCCCCGCTGTCCACAGAAACTGAGAAGACAAACCCTCGGCTGATGTGCTCATGCGCTACATGCACACACGTGCGGCCTCCAATTCCTTCATGCCAAACTTGGAGAGGTCTGGCCAGAACTCGACGCACGTATAGTTACCACCGGAGCACTTCTTGATGACAGGCTTGCCTTTCTTGCTCATGTTGTTCGTCCACTCTTGCCTGTTGCATGAAAGGTCCGCAGGAGGAGGAAACAACCAGCACTGATTCGCAGCAGTGTTCCACGTGCTCAGATGTCTCGTGCCGCCTCAGAGATGCCAGCGCGGCGCTGCTCGAGCGTCCACCTGCAGCCAAGAAGTTGTGCCTAGCGCCTAGCGCACAGCCTCGGCGGCGCGCCGGGGGGGGAAGTAAGAGGGGGCGGGCCTTCTCAGAAGGCTCGGAAGTCCCCCATCCTTCTGACAAGCTTTCTGACTGAGCCTTCCCCCCGGAGACACAGAGAACGTCTCAGAAGGCCAGGGCGCTTCTGAGAAGCCCCGCCGCCTTCTGAGGAGGCCCCCTCCTTCTCACTTCCCCTCCTCGCTCGCCGCCGATGGCCGCGTTCGTTTGCCTGCACGCGGCAGCCGGCAGATCGTCCCCACGGCACGAAGCCCTTCTTCGCCAGCGGTCGGCCGCCCAGCCTGCAGGCCGAGCGCTGCGCGCGACACCCTGCGCTCGAGAATCCCGAACAGTGCGCGGGGCGTCCGACCCCGGAAACCCAGAACCCCCTCCCAAATGTAATCTCTGGCGTACCTCTTTTCGTAGCGCACCGTTTTGGCTTCCCACGCCGCTCCGAGGAGCCACTGCAGGGTGCATTCCGTGACACGGCCAGCCCGGATCACTCCAAGCATGCACACCACTTCGAGGGCACGAGACCCTTCACCAGCCACAGCACACGGAACATCCAAGGGTACCCTCCCCAGGACGAACACGAGCATCCAACAAGCACGGAGAGTTGTATATTCACTTGCCAGGCTTGCGGAGCCTTCACTTCGGGGGCTCGCTTAGACAAGCTTGGCAAGCGTTGGGTTCCTCTTGCCGCGCCGCGTGCTTTCTGGAGGGCGCTCGGCGAGGGACTCCACCCCACGAGGGTCGGGGTCACAGTCGATCTCTCTCTACTTTCTGCCCCATCCAATGGGGTCCCCTGGCCGTCGCCCCCCCCCAGCCAAAAAACGCACCAGCAGTTCCAGCAGTTCCCCTTGCTGGCAGGGGGGGGTGTGAAGGGAGGGAGGGAGGGAGGGAGGGAGGGAGGGATGGGAGGGAGGGAGGGAAGGGAGGGAGGAGGGGAGGCACAGGGAGGTAAGGGAGGCACAGGGGGTAGGGGATGTGGGGAGGGAGGGAGGGAAGGGAAGGAAGGGATGGGATGGGGAGGGAGGGAGGAGGAGGAGGAGGAGGAAGGAGGAGGAGGAGGAGTAGGAGAGGCGGAGGAGGGGCACCCTCCCCGAAAAACCGGAACCGGCCTCGACCTTTACACTCGTGGTCGCTGCCGCAAAAAACGCTTGTCGATTAGCGCCCCAAAAATAGCACGCGCCCGTCCATCCTCTCGGGGGGGGGGGCGCGCGCCGCATCCCCCTCCTTTCCTCCTCCTTTCTTCTTCTCCTCCTCTCTCTCTTCCCTCCGTCACTCCATCCCCCCTCCTTCTCCTTCCTCCCCCTCCTCTCTCCTCCTCCTCCCTCGTTCTCCTCCCCCCTCCCCTCCTCTCTCCTCCTCCTCCTTCCGTCCTCCCTCACTTTCCTCCTCCTCCTCCTCTCCTCTCCTCCTTCCTCTCTCCCTCCTCCTCCTCCTCCCTCCTCCTCCTCCTCCTCCTCCCTCTCCTCCTCTCCTCCTCCTCCTCTCTCCCCTCCCCACCTCCCCCCCCCCCTCCTCCGCTGCTCCTCCGCCGCCGCCCCCTGGCCCGCCCATCCGCGCCGCCGCCCCCGCCCCGCCCTGCCTCCGCCCCCCGCCCCCCCGCCCAGCCCCCCCCCCCCCCGCGGCCGAGGCGAGGAGAAAGAGCGAGAGGAGATGAGGAATGAGGAGGAGGAGGATGAGGAGGAGGAGGAGGAGGAGGAGGAGAGAGGAGGAGGAGGAGGAGGCGGATTAGGAGAGGAGGAGTAGGAGAGAGGAGGAGGAGAGAGGAGGAGGAGGAGGAGGAGGAGGAGGAGGAGGAGGAGGAGGAGGAGGAGGAGGAGGAGGAGGAGGAGGAGGAGAGGAGGAGGAGGAGGAGGAGGAGGAGGAGGAGGAGGAGGAGGACCGAGGAGGAGGAGGACCGAGGACGAGAGAGAGAGAGAGGAGAAGGCAACCCCCTCTCGAGCACTCGACAAGGCGAGGCCCCGCCTGGAGAACGCCCGCGCTCTTCCGCGGAGGCGGCGGCCACAGAGAGGACCCACGCGGGCGCGCGGGCGCTGCGGTCGTAGGAAGCCTCGGATAAGGAATCCAGAGGCTGGCAGCCGGTGGAAAGCCCAAGGAGGCTCGGCCACGGATATCACCGCCGCCCTCATCAGAGAAGGAGCCCTCCAGGGTCTGAAGCCTCCTGGGCAACGCTCCTTACCCCAACGCCCCCGCCGTGTGGCGCGCCCGGCGGCTCCCGTGTGCGCTCCGTCTCGGCGCACGCCGCTGCTGGCTGCAAGGACACATGTCGCTCCCGCCCCCGCCTCGGCCAGCGCTTCCCTCCTTCCATCCTCCTCCGCCTCCCTCCTGCGTCCTCCGCCCCACCTTTCCAGTGACGCCTCCATCCTTCTGCTCCGTCCCCCGACCCTCGCCCCGTGCCCCTCCTCCTCCTCCTCCTGCTCCTGCTCCTCCTCCTCTCGGCCCTGCTCCTTCGTCAACGCATCCGCCTTCCTGCATTCATCCGCCTCTTTCTCTTCACCCCTCTTTCTCTCACTCCCTCGCCATCTGTCCTTCTCTACTAATTGTTCTCTCTCTCTATCCCCATTTCTCATGTTCTTTGTTCTCTCCCTCTCTCTCGCTCTCCCTTCCCACCTCTCTCTCTCTCTCTATCGGAGGTGAGGGGGTGAGATCGAACTGGAACGGAGAGCCCCCCTACCGGGAAATCGATTTCGGTTTCGTGTTCGTGCGTGCCGTGCGTGCGGGCGAGGCGAAGCTGCGTGGGCGGGCGAGAAGAAAGTCTCCTGTGGCTGAGGCGCGGCCGGACCAAATGTCTCCCTTCCGGGCGGGCCGGTGGCCCGCGGTGTCCCGCGGTGTCCCGCTGGTGTCCCGTGTGGCTGAGGCGCGGCCGGACCAAATGTCTCCCTTTCCGGGCGGCCGGTGGCCCGCGGTGTCCCGCCGGTGTCCCGCGATGTCCCGCGATGATGATGATGATGATGATGATGATGATGAGATGATGATGATGATGATGATGATGATGATGATTGTGATGATGATGATGATGATGATTATGATGATGATGAGATGGAGATGATGATGATGATGATGATGATGATGATGATGATGATGATGATGATGATGATGATGATGATGGTGATGCTGATAATGATGCTGCTGCTGATGCTGATGCTGATGTTGATGCTGATGATGATGATGATGATGATGATGATGATGATGATGATGATGGTGATGCTGATGATGATGCTGATGATGATGATGCTGATGATGATGATCATGATGATGATGATGATGATGGTGATGACGATGATGATCGAGTGAGATCGAGTGTGAGATAGATCGAGTGAGATCGAGAGAGATCGACTGTGAGATCGATTGTGAGATCGATCGAGAGAGATCGATCGAGCGAGACCGATGCTGAGATCGATAGTGAGATCGATAGTGAGACCGATCGAGTGAGACGTTGGTTCCTCCCCTCCCCGAACCTCCTTATCACCCGAAGGGTGGTCGTATAGGTATATAGATGTTGATCTGTCTACCCATCTATGTCTTTTCACGCTCAATCGCTCACCCACTTACTCACTCAGCGTGTTTCCCCCGCTTGCGCCCCCGTGTCTGTCCCAATGAACTCCCTTTCCCATCCTCCCGCCTGGTCCCGAGCCCCTTCAGGCCAGGGCGAGGCCACGGGTGCAGACTCCCCGCGGCTCCCTCCGAAATCCGCATACGGGCAGGCTGGATACATCCCCCCCCAGGGCGCAACCGTTCTCCACCACCTGCAGCGGAGGCCAGTCCACAAGCAACCTTCCACACGAAACCCAACCCTGAGACCCCTTGACTTTTGGTGCTGGAGCGTCGCGGTTTCCACAGCAAGACCATCGACACCCAAGACACCTGGGGCACCCTGGAGACAAGCCGGGTGCTTCTTGGCAAAGGTCTCCACTGCACTGACCCCCCTCTCGCGCCGCCGTGCCCCGCGCCGCCGCTCCCGCCACGCCCAACTGAAGGGGCCCTGGGACACACAAATAAATACACACAAATAAAAATAAACCCCATATTTTTCCATATTTTCTGGGTTTTTGTCTTCCCCCCCACTTCCCATATTTTCCCATATTTTCTGGGAAATCGAGGATTCATTGTGTCTGTGTTTTTTCCCCGCCGCGCCCAACGCGGAGACCCCTGCGTGGCCAGCCGCTGCAGCGTCCCGACCTGCCTGGCTCAGGAGGACGCCTGCCGCCACGCGCCGCGCTTCGCGCTTCCTGCCTCGTCTGCCACGTCCAGCGCTTCGCCTTCAATGAAGGGGCCCTGGGACACACAAATAAATACACACAAATAAAAATATATCCCATATTTTCCCATATTTTCTGGGTTTCTGTCTTCCCCCCCACTTCCCATATTTTCCCATATTTTCTGGGAATCGCCGATTAATTGTGTCTGTGTGTTTTTTCCCCTCCTGATTCAAGTCTTGCGTCACCATCACTGCACTCTTCGAGCTCTCGCTCCAGACGACCAGGGGCTCCTCCATCCACCTGAGCATGATCCTCGCAATCGTCTGGCCCACATTCAAGACGCCCCCCCTCTGGTGATCTTCGCTATCTTCGGGGCGATGTGCACGGTCACCTTCCCGATCTGCGTTCGGTGGTGATCTTCACGAAGCTGGTGACGTCCATCATGACCCACGGGCCGAACTCCCACGTTCATCGTGACCCTCCCGCTGATCGTCCACGGACCCCCACTGGCAGTAGTCGCCAGGGCCACCAGGCCCATTCTGGCACCAGCCCTGTCGTTGTTCATCGAGACCCTGCCGCCGAGCGTCTACGGACCGGCTCTGGTGTCGGGCCGAGTGGCCACCAGGCCCAAACTGCAACTAGCCCCCCCATGTCGCAGTCCATGTCGTAGGGAGTCGATGCCCACCAAACGGGCTGTGGAGGCGTGGTGGTGGTGGTGATCGGTTGGAGTCGGCTGGGGGTCTGAGGTGGCCCAGGTCGATGCTTCGCCCCCTAGAGGAGGAGGAGGAGGAGGAGGAGGAGGAGGAGGAGGAGGAGGAGGAGGAGGTCCATCGAAGCCCTCCTTCAGAGCGTCCGCCGACTCCCACGGGCATCAGCCACGGGGGCCAGCGGGCCCATGCCGCAGCCACTCCTCCTGCCGCGGCTCCCTGTGACTCCCCCTCCGAGCTTCCGCGCACAACCGCTGGAGGCTCCCAGACGGGCCACCAGGCCCAACCTGCAGCCAGGCATCCTGAAGTACACCCTGGGAAATGCTTAAGAAACCATGGGTTAAGAAATTCAGAGTCTCAGAACTGGAATAAAAACCCAGAACTTCTATCAAAATCTTGGGATTTACATTGACAAGTTAAGAATAATCAAGACTCTGGCCGAAAACTTAGGTTTTCTTAAGCATCGCCTAAGGTGTAGTCCATCGCAACCCTCCCCTAGAGAGTCCCGTCCACCGACTATCACCATAACAACAAGTGCCGTAAACAGAAACTTTTGGCGCTCCGCGCGGATTTCTTGGATCTGAGCTGGAACCCCTCTCTGGCGCGCGGAGCGCGCCAGGGTAGGCGCCGGAGGCGCCGCTGGGGGGCCCAGCGCAGATCCAAGAAACCCGCGCGGAGCGCCAAAGGTGTGTGCTTATGGCGTTCTTCCTTCTTCGGTCACCATCCTCCCCCCGAACGTCCGCCGACTATCCACTGTGGACGCCCGAAATTGGTACGGAAAAAATGGGTACAATGCCCAGCAGCAAATGTTGCCCCAAACCAATAGCGGCCGCTGTTGGGCAGGCGGCCTTCTCTCAGATGTGCACAGGCTGCGTCGACACCGACAGCGAGTCCTGTTCAACATGATCAGGAACTGCTGTTGGGCATTGTACCCATTCTTTCCGTACTCCAGATTTCGTAATAAAAGGGAGGGGGTCTGGCCCCTCCAAGACGAGCCATTTCAGACCCCCCCCGTGGGAGAACCCTCCAAAACATCGTCCCCAGACCCCCCCAGGCCCTCCAAGATAGCCTGGAAGAGACCCCCCCCCCGAAATGAGACCCCCTCCCTTTTGTTACGAAATCTGGAGTACCCATTCCGTTCCTGCCGATTCTCGGGTCGGGCGAAAGGGGGGGATAGCAAAGGGGGGGGTTGAGAATCAGCTCACGTAGCTGATTTTCCCGGCGCCTCCCGGCGCCGCAGGCGGCAATGTATCGAGGAATGGGCCCCTCGGTGAGGCCGAAACCAGCTGCATGCAGCAAATTTCGTAACCCCCCTTTCCCAATCCCCCCCTTTTCGTCCGGCCCGAGATTCCAAAGGGCCCACGGCGCCCGAAGACCGGCCGTCGACCGCCGGACGCCGCGCACGCCGGCGCCGACCCGTTCGCCGACCGCACGTCGGCCGCCCGCCTGCCGTCGACCCCCCAGAAGCCGTTCGCCGGCCGCCCGCGGACCGTCCGCCGACGACCGACCGTCGACCGCACGACACCTGGCGACGACGCCCGCGGACAGTCCGCCACCGAGCTCGAAAGAGGAGGAAGAGGTAGCGATACATCTACCTCCTCCTCCTCCTCCTCCTCCTCCTCCTCCTCCTCC